AGATTATTTAATTGTTTGTATTTAATAAACACTTTTACTGTCAGGTCAAAAGAGGAAGGCTGAATGGTGTAAGAATTTACATTTAAAATGAATGTCAGTAAGTACTTTCGAAGGGGATTGAAAAACATTTTGTGTTAGGGATTTTAATGAATGAAAACAAAATTGTTGTTACTTGAACCTAATTACAATAATGAAAACTGTAAGTGATGTAATTTAGCAGTATTCTTAAAAATATACAAATCCATAAGCACACCGCATGAGAGGGTAATCTGTTGTACGTATACTGGCTCGGGAACTTTGTCCTTTTGATTCCATCAGATTGTACCTGCGCTGTTTTTCAGGTTGAAATTAATACCTTCAGTATAGGTACAGGAAGCATTTGTTGAGAAGATGTGATTTAAGGAAAATTACAAACGGTCCTTGGAAGTAGCTGTTTCGCAGCGACATCAGAATCGAAACTCATAGAATGCTGAATATTAGAATATTATAAGAAACTTTATTCATAAACACTTATATAGTATGAGGGTGTATTAGGTTGGAATAAGTCTTATAGGACTGGGAGCAATATAGCAGAAATGGGGCCATTGTCCTACTATGACACATTGGTTTTAGCTCACGTTTCCATAATCTGGTAGACTTCATTGCACAAAAAAAGTAATATCTAATTTCTACAGGAAGTTCAGAATGATGCTTGGAATAAGTGATACCATGTCAACCAAGGTTCTGGAATCGTTGCTATATATTTCACCCATTGAAATATATATAAGATATGAAGGGGCACTTTAATAGCTTTAGACATCGACTCATCAATATTTACTGGACACATTGGAAGAATATACACAATCATGGGACGTGCCCGATCGCACACCGGACACGGAATATGTGGGGAACTTTGAAACACTGATCCCAGATTGAATGTCATGGTCAAGCGGAACATTAGAGCAAATACCCCCAGGAATCCGCTGCTATACGGATGGGTCTAAATTGGGGGACAAAGTGTGCCTGGTGTTCTATACTGAAGACCCAGAAACAGATATATTCCGCTGTTTACCTAATCATAACACCAGCTTCCAGTAGAAGTCCGAGCAATCATAGAATCCATCATTTATGGGCCGATCCTAAAAAAAGTTGGTAGAGAGTTATGACCGTTAAAGCTGTTTTTTGGAGGTCCCTTTGTCTGATGGCTAACCGAAAAAGTGGACCGATATTGCCCATTTTCAATACAAACCTTAGCAATAGGAAATATTTATGCAAAATTTTAACTGTCTAGCACCTCCCGTATGGTCCTTATCGTGATTTCAACAGACAGACGGACGGACATGGATAGATCGCCTTAGAATTTAATAAAGACCCAGAATATATATACTTTTATGGGTCTATGACCAATATTTCGATGTGTTACAAACGGAATGACAATAACAATATACCCCCATATTTTTTGATGGTGGATATAAAAATATGGCTGAGAGATACCCATAAGGCCTCTTGGAATAATAAAACCTACCCTTCGTTTCAAACATAAAGATCCTATGGGTGACCTTAACGAGAGGAGGACGAGAACGGACGGATATATGTAACATCCCTCTGAAACATTGATTAGAAAATTCTTAAGAATTACGTACAGGAAACAGAGTTTTTGAACATCCCCAGCAAAAAAATTTTGAAGTTGTTAAAGAAGAAGGGATATTTTCATGATTTCTTTAGTAAGTATTCTATTTAATGCGTTCTAAATACATGCCTAAATTCTAATAAATTTGTCATCAGTGAAGGCATGAAAAATGAACCCAAATTCACTCATGTAACTCCACTATAGGAATTGTAATATTTTACTGTAATTTGGTATTCTCTTAGGAGATTTAACGAAAACATGCATTTCATACAATAAAGATTAAAAATTACATTAATTTTTTATTAGATTTTTGTTAAAATTAGTAATATTAAGTCCATTAAAATTAGTAATATTAAGTCCATTAATAAGAGAAGGAAAAAACCAAGACTGCTTAAAGGATTTTAAAACACAATGGGTATTTTTCCTCTGCATGAATTTAAATCCAATCAAAATCAGTTAGTTATGTTTTATCTTATTCTATTTTTATCAATATCACGCAAAAAAATTATTTAAATATTGATAATTAAATCGAAATACCATTAATGAATTTTTAAATAAATATAGTGCACCAATGAAAATTCGCTTGAGAATCATCGAATATTCATTGGTTATAAGAACTCATTTAAATAACGAACTATTTTTGCAAATACGAACCCATGCATGCCAATGACACGCTAATGTTAAAATCATGCATGTTTCCCCTAAATATGAACCAGTTCATTATCAGTTCAACCCATGCATTTACTACTTTTCTTGCACGTCTTTTTTTGCTGGGTCGGACATTAATACATTCAGTGAATACTATATAAGGTTTTAATTTAACCTAAGTCTCATAAAAATCTTGATTTATTCAGAACTCATATGTCCTACATTGTAGTCTACAGTCGTTAAAGTTAAAATTTGACTTTGTTGGAGATACAATCCAAATATGACCAAATATTTAATTTCTAAAAGAGCGGAATATATCTCACACTGAGACAAATCAAAATGCTTATAAATGTTCCTGTATTTGTCTTTCTTTCTCTATTTCTCAATTAATACTTAACAGATCTACACTTAGTTTTATGGAGAGGCTTGTGTTCGATAGAATTACTTTATTAGTATTCCAAAAATTCTTTAAACTACCCATAACAGGTGTCCATCTCGAGACTCTGTTTGGAAGGGTGTTTGCAATACATATCACTCTTATCGACATATTTATGATTGTTGATTGTACTTTTGTATAAGTGGTAGGCGTAATTGTGACTGATAAAAGGGAATCACAAAATCAATTTACCTCCTTGTTTTTAATAATTTCCTATTAGGTATTCTATTTTATAATACATCTAAAAGCTTCTTAAATTAATATCTACTTCAAATAAATAAATTTTAAATTCTTAAGTAAAATCATTTTTCATTTTAGACTATTTATTAGGTTTTTGCTAATAAAAAGGAATTTATATTCATTTAATACAAATCATTTTTCTGCTGACAATGAAGACAATAATGATGACGATGATTATGATGATGTTATCAATATAATCTCGTTTAGCATATTGTATTCTAAGCTGGAGCATTATTAAATGTCTTCCTTGACCGCCCACTAAATACACCACCGCCACCACAAAAATAACAACAGGAACTAAGCACATACACATGAGTACAAAAGAAATAAACAACAAAAGAACTAAATTAGAAAATAAGACAAAAAGTAAATCAAGGTACATCAACAACAAACGATAAACCACCACAATAACAATTTCAAAATTCAAAGTGAATTTTATTTTTACAAAGTGAACAAGTAAGAAATTATAGTCGGGCGTGGCCGACCATATGATACCTTACACCAATTGCGAGTATTAAATATGATTAATTTCAATAATGAAGCATTTTTGTTAATCTTATATAGGTTCCAAATAATGTCTGTTCATGTACGGTTGTATGCTGACTAGGAGAAATAAAAAACCGATTTCAATAATTTTCAACAGCCTTCGTCATTGGATCCAGAGACCCTTTTTGACCCTTTTTTGACAAATTATATTCAAAATTGTGATCTGTTGCATGCACACAAGGTTTACACGGTCACAAAGACGGACATAGCATAATATGGACAAATATTTCTGAGTGTTACAAACATCACCACATTGTGCCGACTTTTGGATAGATAGGTCCGGTTGTATGGGGGCTAGGGCAAAAATTGGTCCGATCCTTATAAAATTTAATGTCGACATTTATGTTTATATAAAATCTATTTGTGGCAAATTTCATCGTGATACTAGTGTTTATAAATGAATTGTGGACATTTAAGTCATTTTCTGAAGGGGATTTTGTGTGGGGGATAGGGTCAAATAATGCCCGATTAATATGAAAATCGACAATGTTATTTATAATTATATCAAACTTAGTTGTGCCGATTTTTGGACAGACAGTAGTAAATTTGACAAAGTTATGAGCTAAAAGGCCCAAATCGGAAGGTCCGGTTATATGGGGGCTAGGGAAAAACTTGGGCCGATCCCTATAAAATTTATTGTTGGGAATTATGTCCATACAAAACTCATCGTGATACTAGTGTTTATAAGTGAATTGTGGACATTCAAGTCATTTTCTGAGGGGGACTTTGGGGGCTAGGGTCAAATAATGTCCGATCTTTACGAAAATCACTAGAATTATTAAGACATATATAAAACTAAATTTTTCCAATTTTTGTAGAGATAGTAGATCATTTAACATAATTATGAGGTCAAAAGCCCTATTCGGGGGGTCCGGTTGTATGGGGGCTAGGTGAAATAATGGACCGATTTCAACATAGCTTAATCGACTCAGGAAGTGATTCTGAGCCGATTGGTATACTTTAAGGGTGTTACAAACATTAGCACAAACGCATACTACCCTCCCCACTATAGTGGTATAGGTTATAATAAGAATATTCGACTAACGAGATTGGTATACAATATTCTTGAACGTTAAATATATTATTTGCAGAAACAGAGTGAAGAAATTCCAATTATCTAAGGTTGGTTGGTTGGTTGTAAAATCAATTCTGTTTGTAGAACAATTCTTGAGTTTGATGGTCCTCTTTAAGATTAATTAGTGACACAAAACCTGATTTGAAAGAGTACAAACACAATGAGAAACTCAATATACCGACTTTGTTTCACTACGGAGAATACAAATGTTATACCTAAACTCGCAGCTATGAGTTGAACATGAGATGCAACAAATGGCAACAATAATAATACTTAAAGTCAAGAAAACAACAAAATTGTAACTTCCTTAGAAAGCTTTAAACAATTTGAAGATGTGCAATGCAACATTTACAACAAATAACAACAATAATGACAACAAAATACGAGAAAAAAAGAATAGTTGCATAGAAGTACTATGAAACCATAAAATGTTGTTGTTATTACAGATCCACAGATGCTGGATGACGAGGAGGAGAACAATAACGATAATGATGATGGTGATGATCATGGGCACGATGATGACGACTGTGACGATGACCAAAACGACAACTTAACAATGACGACAACTACGATGATGATAACGTTGACGACCTTTAATGTTTGAGCATTTGCAACATCATCTGCATTAAAAGTCATAGACATTATTTGATGCAAGAAGGCCCATCATATGCAGCATTTGTTAAATTTTTTTTGCCATTTCTTTCTTTTCTTTTTTTTTTGCTGTAATGTGTATGAGTGTTTGGGGAGTATGTATGTTTTAGTTGTTGGCGTGTTGTAGCTTTTGTTGTTGAGACCAAAAACAGCCATAACATTACATGCCCATCTTCATGTTGATCAAGTACTGTGTTTAAAAAGAAAAAAATACTGTGAACTAATGGTCGGAATGGTATTCTGTTTGCTGTTGTTGTAAAAAACCGCTCCCTTAAGTGGAGTAATGAACTTTAAAAGTTGTAACGATTCCGGTATGTCCTAGCTTTAGTTTTGATGTTACGTAATCGGGTGTAGATATCTTATTTTCCATCGAAATATAACTAATCAAACTAAAATTTTCTATAAATTGATCATGAATTTTAGAATTAATTTAAGAACAGGACCTTTACTGGAATCTTGGCTTATTTTGGTCGCAACTCTACAAAATAAGGACCGATCGGATTTCAACAGACAGACGGACATGGTTAGATTGTTTTAGAATGTTATAAGGACCCAAAACATTCATGATATCGTGACCAATATATCTATGTGTTACAAACTGAATGACAAAATCAAAATCAGAAATTTTCTGAATAGAAATTATGGACCTATCGGTTACAAAATTTGGATTTCAACAGACAGACGGTCGTGGTTGAATCTAATAAGGACCCATAATTCATATAATTTTGAGACATTTCAATTTTTACAAACGGAATAACAAACTTTCTGAATAACAGAAGATGAATCGAAAATGATCGATAGTTTTAGAAATTTAAAACCGTCACACAGGTTGGTTAAATTGATTTCTTTTGAAAATGTTGCATTCATTACGTCAACAATTGTTTTAGTTTTGTTGTGGGCTGTTGCTTGTGGTATTCCATTATTTTAACAATTGAAAAACACAGCTAAAGTACAAACAAACAAAAAAAAAATCATAGGAAAACATTCTTAATTTCTAACAAATTTACAAACACAAAAGGAAAGAAAAACACGCCAACGTTTGAAAATCAAGTGCTTCAAGTAGTTGCTTAAAAAATACCGAAATGTTGTTAAAGAATCTATTTGCTTTTCTCCACTGATCTCAACATGAAGATTCTTCTGTGATTATTTTAAAGTAAAATTTGTTTTTTTTTTTTTTTTTATTCTGCAAAGAAAAAATAGAAAGTTACGTGCTTAAAATACACTATTAGTCGACCAAAACAGTACAATCTGTTTTATCTGTATCTAAGCATTTGGACCACTAAACAAAAACCAAACAAAAAATTGAGGAAACAAGGAAGACTCAAGATCATGTTTGATCTTGTTAGAAACAATTTACTTTTATGTTAAAACAAATGCATAAAAAGACGAAGAAAAAAACAAAAAAATTTAATAAAATGCTTAGTCAAATGGTATCAAATGGTAATAATAGTGATTTTCTATTACTTTTTGTGTTTCTTTTTCTATAATGTTAAAGAACTTTTGCGGTGGTGGTATGAACTTAGTTACGGAGAACTAGAAGTACATTTATTTAAGAATACACTCAGAAAATTATTTCAAGTAGGTTAAGTTTCTACATTGCATTAATATCAAAATGTTAATATAAAATATATTTAAAACATTCATTAATTTTGGAATATTAAACTCGACAATTGCTTCATAAATATATCCTTAAATTATTTTCAGTGTAAGTTCTGCTTGAATAGTTAAACGTAAATCTTGACTATTATTTAGATTTGATGGTTATTCAATTACCAAAGTTTTTCTTGTACTACAGTTTTGTTAGCAAAATAATGATTTCGATTGAGGTTGGGTGGATATAAGATGCACTTTCTTCTTCTTAAAAAAAAGTAAAAATTTATAATCAGATTTATTGAGGGAATATTTAATAATGAAAATCATAAACCATGAATTTTTTTCATAATACCGAATAAATAATTAAACTAAATCATCATAGAGATATTTTATACAAAATTCTTCCGCTCACATTATTACGTTTTCTGGGGACACACTTGGGTGCATCATATTGATCCCTTTGTGATACCTGTAAAGACAAAGAGTTGGCGTACAAATATACTTCTATTTAATAACTCTGGATTTTATCCAATCAAATTTATCGAACACTTCTGCAGATATCCTTAATTAGAAGTAACCTCGGTGATCGTGTCTGTTAACATACTTATGATCTTACCATTCCCTAGAATTGATCACCTAAATTGTGCATTCTCTGTCCCTTAGCATGCTGACAAAACTGTCTATCTCTTCCAAGAGAGTCCACAATAGTATTACCAGATATTTGTTGATGACCCGAAATTCAATACAGTTATATTAAGCCATTTCATCTAGAGATTGCCGCAATTCAAGGAACACCATTGATAAGTTCAATCTTATGTGGGTTGTACTGGATTGTCACGATAGTGGACAAAAAGTTTTAGGCAAACTCTATTTCCCGTCATTGTTTTAGAGCCATCAGTGTAAATCTCGTACGATCTATCAAGAAGGAACAGTTCAATATTATCTGGATTGTATTGGATTGACACGGAGAAATCTGTGTCAAAAATAAGTTTGGAAGTGTAGTTGTCAATTTTGTCAGGTATATAATGCTTCAAGAATATTGAGTATGATCGTATGGCCAGATTGAGTCAGATGCCACGCTCCAGTGATCTTGAGCCTTATCGTAGAGTTGAAAGCAATGATCCATCAAAGAGGGTTAGTTCAATATTATCTGGTTTGTACTGTAGTTTGGGAGTCAATATTGCAAGATTATTCTTCCAGACTATTGAGTGTGATCGTATTACCAGATTGAGTCATAGCAACGATCCGTTAAGAAAGATCAGTTCAATCTTATCTAGATTGTACTGGAGTTTGGGAGTCAATATTGTCAGCTTATTGAGTATGATCGTATTACCAAATGGAGTTATATACCATGCGCTAGTAATCTTGATCTTATCGTAGAGTTGAAACCAACTTCTTGAGCCAGTTCATCATGGCAATGATAGTCTTTAATGATATGGTACAAAAAGCATTAGTGTAGATGGGCAAAGGATTTTTCATGTTACTTGTGTGGCATAGTTTTCTACCACCAAACAAGCGCACTCTCGATTGTAGGTTTAATTTTCGTGAAACTTTGAAACCCAGAATGTGTATTCGAATGGAGACAGGCATTATAAATCCCCCATAGCGTTATGTGGACAGCATTATATTGCAGATCCGCATTTACTAGCTAATGACAGCCAGGAAAATGGGTAGTAATGAGAGACTGTTCACGTACCACATGATTTTGTATAAACTTTGGAAGAGGATCTTTTACGCCGCTACAGAAAATTCTTCAAGATTTGCCCGTTGTTTTATTTATTACTGCGGACTTATATTAAAACCAGTAGCCTGTTCTCTTCGCCTCATTTGTTCTAATAAGTATACACTAAAATTGGAGAATGAAAAAAGGAATTTTTAAGGTGGGTTTGTAAAATTATAGTCCAATACAAATATATTAGTAGGGCGCCACAGTTAGGTTAGTAGATAGTGTTCTGTCTGTCAGTCAGGAGGTTGAGGATTCGATTCAAACCAAATACTTTGGTTAAGGATTGCACAAAAGTGACTTAAGTATAATGACTTAAATGTATTACTTTCTTCTTATAAGTTAAACTACACTCGCCTTAGATATTCGTTTTCTAATATTACTAAATCCTAGAAAACCAAGTAAGAATATTTTATAAGATCGGAAAGCAATGCTTAAAGTATACTTATGTTTTAATAGTTAACAACATTTTAATTTTCACAAATTAAAAAAAAAATAATCACAACAATAATATTGACTAGTAGCAGCAATTAAAAATTAGAAGCTCTTACTTTCCCTATAACCATACGTTTAATGATCTAAGTAGCTATACATGTATCGAAAGGAACTCTTTGTCGGCATAATGAACAATGTATGTTAATTCCATTAACATACACTCAGACCCTGCTTATTTTATATATTTACGTATATTTTTTAAATTTATTTGCATTTTCGAACATTATCATGCAGCAACATCAAACGTCAATATCTATTAAAATTTACAAACCTAACAAGTTTATTTAATATTGTATAATATAATGATAATGGAAAAAACACAAAAATATGCATACAAATTAACAACTATGCGAAACCACATAAGATGAACTCCTCCCCTTTTGGTCACACTCCCTTAGACAGTCGAAACACTACAACATTGTGGGGAATATTCTAACAAAGTTGTATATCGTAATAATGTTAAAAAAAGGAATGATGTAAAACAAAATTACTTTGGATCACTAGACCACAAAATGATTGAAGGTTTAAAAATAATGTTGTTGGTATGTCTAGATGCGAAAAAGGCACATGGACAGACAGACTAAGTAGTATACTATACATATTAGTCCTAAGGGCTATAGTTTACAATGAACTAAATTTAAATATTTTTACTATAACGCTTTAGCACTTACATAAATCAAGGAATAATAAATAGAAAAAAATCTAAATTTTGCTAAATGCTACATGTTAGGATTATTACATTAAGTATCAAAAGTGCTTATCTACTATTTTTTCAAGTGCATATGTAACTTTCAGATAAAAATATAGCTTTTCTTCAGAGTGCCCAGAGTGCCCTTGACTTGTTGATAGTGTGCTAGTGTATCAATGTAGACGTCAATTCCCGTTAGAAACAGTGGTATTTTGCAGTACAATCTCCTCCTTTCAGATGTCTTGTCAGTATTCAGATTTGGTCTCTTGATATACATCTATATCAAAAGCTGGTAGGTCTAGCATTGTGTCAAGACTAAACTTAGGATCATGGAATATGACTATAGCTAATTCAGTAAATAAGTTTGCAACACAGGTAAAGATGTATAAATGGCTGTTATACACTTCTTAATAAATCCATAACATGATTAAATTATACAAAGAAAACACTATAA